TTTTACATTAATTTTCGATTGAGCCAACTTGCATTCTGCAGTACCCATAATTCTATCTACATTATTAAGTAATTTGGATAACATGTCGTATGCCTCTTTTAAAGATGTTTGATCTGAATGGGATGCTGGAGTGTGCCTGAGTATTTCTTTGACCAATAAAGGATATTTGACAATCCTTGATCGAGCTACATCTATGTATGTCCATAAATCAATTGAATGTGGAGACTCCAAACGTTTTTTCATAAAAGATTGAAAACGTTTATTTGTCAGTCTCTTTTCATCTAATAAATGTTTGGCCCATATTTGTGTTCTGCATCTTTCTAAATATGGTTTTGTTAAGGTAGAGATCTAGAAATATGGTAAAATTATTGACTCCATGAACTCCACAATTAAATCAAATATCATATGCAAGAATAACTAACCCAATTTAGTATGGTAGGGCCAATAGTATCTGTATATCCATATTGATCTCTTAATTCAATTAACTTGTCCCTCAGTCTAGTATGTATCTCAATGAGATCATTTACACATCCAAAAAGTGTAAACAATTCCTCTGAATTAAAGATACCGGTAGGTATCAGTGGTTCATGATAAAAGTCTTTGAGAATGCATAAGTCGTTAATAAGTACATTTTCTCCACAGTACAATTCATAAATTGCCTCCTGCCTTTTTACTTCTTTGCGGCTTAAGGCATAGTTTGGTCTGTCTTTGGTATTTACCTTTGAGACATCAAGTAACCAACTTCGAAGTGTAAGATTATTAGCGCTTTCAATAGTTTTGTTCCGTCTAAACAATAGAAAATATAAAGACTTATGTGAGAAAACAGAATCTTCAAGCACAGGTAACATTAAGAAATATTTTCTTCTTACTTTCTTTTTAATGTTTCTGTATCTGGTTCATTATCCACAAAGGATAAATCTGTTGTATTTGGCTGTATTGTCAGAGATGTATGAAGAACATTTGCCTGTTTATTGCCTAAGGTAGATGAGGAAAAAATACTGCTAGCTACTTCAGTGATTCTCCTTCTTTTCTTCTTTTTGCCTAAGTCCGACTCTATGGATATATCCATTGAACAAATGCTAAGAGCATCACTTTTTGGACGTTTTCTTGATCGCTAATGTAAATATAAAATAAAATTTTAATAGCTCAAGTAAGAGTTATATATGTTTCATTATCATTATTAGAACATCAATGTACACATTATATAAGCAAGATTACTACAACGTAAATTATTGTAATTTCCGAATTTAAAATAGATTTGAAGTAAGAAATATTTAATACAGAATATCTCAGAAAAATAAAGATAAACAATGTTATGAAACGTTGATTAAAATAGCGGCGCAGGTTAATCAGATTTGAATGTTACTGACAGTGCATAAGAACTTACCAGCCAGAATTTTTTTCGTGGTTCCGGAAAAGCATCCTTGATTGTATTATTGCTTTCATCTTCCATGACTCTTTAGTTATGTAACATTTATAAACAGAAAATTCTGATACAAACATTCATATTCGGATGACGGTAACCATCGAACTACGCGAACCTTAGACAAATCTGATTCATCGATTTAAATCTGGCAAACGTAAACTCAAGAATATTTTTGGTGGTTATCATATCATGGTGGCTTATTTAATTTTCACCGTGTGTTTAATTGCAATGGTATTATTTATAAGGTGAGAAAACCGTCGAAACACTCATTTAACCGTACACAAAGGCGTCGTTCCACGGACCTCCTAAAACCGTTGCATTTAAAAATACTTAACCCCTAGATTAATTGAAGTATAGAAGATTCCACTATACTTTTAGCTGACAATACTTTCTTTCAATATAACATTATACCAAAAGTTATTTACGTAAACCCACACTGCTATACTAGTTCAAAATACTGAACTGTAAATAGGTGTTGTATTGAAGGCAGTATTGTCAGTTCAAACAGTTCAGTGTGTATGAGAACTTTTTCTATCATAAAGTTAAATTTTTTACTTGGTGTATCATTCATAATATTCTCGTCAATGACATACATTATCGAAAACAAAACCAGAGAAGAACTTCAATCGGTCAGTCAAATTTTGAGTATCAGTTTGTAATACTTTCCTACAAATCATTTGGAATACTCGAGGAAGAAAGATGGACCTTCATATTTGAATTTTATAACTGTGTTTTGAATTTGTGCCGCCATGTTTGAGTTGACACATTATCTAACCAATTTTACCAGTATTTTCAATTAAGTGAATATATTTTCACCCACATTTGAAAATAAATAATCTATACCTGAAGTTTGATAATAGCTGTACGTTTTCTCAAGAGATTTATCTCTGTATACGTACACGTGTTAAATGGAAAGGTTAGATTTGGAAAATAATTGTGAAACATTTTGTACGTTATCGATTTTAATTGTTCTTTTCTTGTGGCTATTTTCAATTTTAGAAAAGACGAAGGCAAAGAGAAGCAATGTCGATCTAAAAAGTCTGCAACTAAAAGAACAATGAACGAAAAAAATAGAAGGAATACCCAACGCGTTACACCACATACGGAGCGGAACGCTTCTGGCCGTAATTGGGAATTGTTTAAAAACATAGTATCCAACTCATCTCCCGTAGAAGTAGATACTCCCGGCAAAGAAAATGTTAAGAAAAAGTCGGTTCCTTATCACCAAAGGTCTAAGAAGAAACATACACTTATTCTGAGTCCGGACACTAAGCCACAATTCAACGAAGAAGAAGAAGATTATGATAATCATAAGAAGAAACTGACAAAGCATATAGCTATGGATTGTGAGATGGTAGGCATAGGTGACGGCACTGAAAGTATGATAGCTAGGGTGTCTATTGTGAATTCCCACAGCTACTGCATTTATGACAAATATGTTAAACCAAGGGAGCCTGTTCAAGATTACAGAACTAAAGTGAGTGGTATCCGGCCCCATGATCTTCAAAATGGAGAAGACTTTCAAGTTGTTCAAAAAGAAGTAGCAGAGATTTTAAGAGGACGTATTTTAGTTGGACATGCTTTGAAGCATGATTTGGATGTTCTATATCTATCACATCCAAGGAAACATTTGAGGGACACTTCCAGGTTTAAAACCTTCCGACAATTATCAAGAGGAAATACACCTAGCTTAAAAAAACTTGCTTACGAACTGTTAGGTAGAGAAATACAAACAGGAGAACATAGCTCAGTTGAAGATGCGAAAGCTGCGATGCAGCTGTATGTACTGTATAAAAATAAGTGGGAGTCCGAATTTTATTCTAAACGATAATTTTTCATAGGATGAAAGTTCATCCCTTCCATTGAAAAATCTCAGAGAATTGCGAATACACAAGGAACTTTCATGCGTTTAATAAGTACTAATTTTGATCACTGTATTTTTATTCAGTACAAATCATGAAATACACATATATATATACGTTTATATTATATAACATGAAATCAGATTAATTTGACACTAGTTTCTAAGATTATATTTATACCAAGGACCAATTCTCAATAACTTGTATCTTTGCAGAATAATCTGAAACACAAGACTACAAATCTTAGATCGGCTTGTCCATATCTAAATGTGTAAATAGGAAATGTTGTTGTCAGAGTATAATGAATTCTGTTAAAAAATTAAAAAATATATTTCTTTTTCATACAGATACTTCTCGGTTGTTCTATACTTAATTCTTATAATCCCCATAAACGCAGTGTTGTGGAGACAGTATTAAATGTAATTCAATGGAACAATTGCAGCAGATAAAGTTACTGCAAAGGAGATAAAAAAAATACTTCAGTGTAAGTTCAATTCCCTTATGATTCTTCTGTTCTTTTGCTGCATGAATCTCCTGACATTCTCTTGTAAAACATCGTATAATAACTTTTCAGACTTAGTAGATATGATTTACCGATAAGAGCCATAATGGTTACATGGGTTTGTACAGAGGAGACAGGAGTGGATCAATAATTTACCTATACATACCAGCGTGTATAAAAGTTCGCGGTAAACTTTCTTGTAAACAAGCGCGAGGTTGAGTCAACTATGCTTTCTTCTATTTATAACCAGTGAAATTGTTTATATAGAATAAATTTATAGAAGCAATATACTTCGATTATCCCATTCCAGACGCACGTGCCTCGTATACAAGCACCGAACTGTTTAAACCCTTATCGCGATGATTTTAATCTTTACTAATATATTTGGATGACTGATCATTTCCTAAAGTAGTCTCTATGATATCATCTGACCGCAAGGGATCGAAAACGTTACACATTATAACATCAACATGTCACTCATTCGTACTTAATCAACCAAACACGATGATGAGCAGATTTAAACTAGTCTATGATATCATCTTACCGCAAGTGATCGAAAATATTACACATTATATCACTAATATGTCACTCATTCTTAATCAGCCAAAGACGATGAACAGATTTTTCAAGGGGATTAATTACACGGTCACAATTACGGTCTGCGAAATCCTCGGGAATCATATTGCGACTGACGTTGACCCAGGGGGTATATTATTTTTTCTCCAGATTTTGTTCTATTTTTTCCAATGAAATGTTAAAAACGATAACACATATGCTACCCAGCCATCGCTTGCATCGTGAAGTGCAAACGTTGAACTTGCCGATAACGTTGTCAAAGTAATTAAAGAACAACCAGATAGCCACCAGCTGTCTACCCCTAGTAAATACCAGCGATACAGTCTATTCAGTGAATACGTCTCCCAACGATTCTAATCGTCGATTTCCTAAAATCGGCTCCGCTCGGTGTAAGGTCATTAACGATGCGCCCGCTGCAAGGTTCCCGGCGGCAATTAAAAATTCATTAATCGTCGAACGATATCGCGCAGCCTCCAAAAGTAACAGGAGGCCGTTCGTTGTCATCGTTTCCTGAAACAAGTCGGCATGCACACTTTCGTCGCGTGTGTATGGCAGATACATGCAATACACGACGGCCTTGTTATCAGTGGCAGCCTCCTTTCGAAAGATACACTTCGACTTTTCACAGATAGTGATTACTTTACTTCCAGTCATTCGTTATTGCTCGTTCGCCAGTAGTACATCGGCTCCCGAGGATTTCACGCGCGTTATCTCCGCCTTCCGATTTCTGAGCACCGTGCTCTTAATTTATCATCTTCCCTTTGAACGATACATTTCGATTTTCATATATACCGATTGCTTTACTTCCAGTCATTCGTTATTGCTCGTTCGCCAGTAGTACATCGGCTCCCGAGGATTTCACGTGCGTTACCTCCGCATTCCGATTTGTGAGTACCGTACTCTTAATTTATCGTTAATCAGCATCTTATTCATCCCTATTATCATCCATCGAGAACATTCCTTTTCGCTTGCTAGCAAACGAATATAATTGCACGCGAAAAACCTGACGGATCCACGTGTTTCGCGTTGCGCCTCTCCGCTGACGCTCGAGACCGCGAACGCGTTCGGCATTCACCGTCGATGTAGTTAAGCAACGACCAGGAAACCGCGTTGCACGAAAAGAAAGAAAACGAAACGTTCGGGTAACGCGACTTTCGATCGTTGCACCTTTCCCATTCGGAATTCAAGCGCGTTTTACTATGTCTCGCGTAGATACTGGATCGAATTTTGCGCGTAACAGTACCATTCGCTTTATCTTTCGGTACGGTTTCAGCTCCCATGGTGTTTCTCGTTCTAATCGTACGATAAGGCGAGAAACGCATAATTGAATTAGGTTTTTATACGCGCATTTGCTTCGGTCGTTAATCGGAGAGTCGCGATTAGAGCGGAGGAACATATATCATCGCGCGGCACTATTCTCGAGCAGGTTTGCCGAAGTTCAAGCATGAAGATCGCTGTGATCGGTGCTGGGTCCGCTGGCTTGGCGGCCCTACGGCATTGCGCTTCCGGCGAGATCGATTGCGAGGTGGTTTGTTACGAGAAAACGGATCAGATCGGAGGAACGTGGGTCTACAGGGAAGAAACCGGCGTGGACAAGTACGGTCTACCGATACACACCAGCATGTACAAGAATCTAAGGTAAAGTTCACGGTAAGCCAACTTAACTCCAGGTCTACGGGACTCTTCAGTTTGACGCACGTTGAATTTTATAAACATTATTCGGCGAATGTTCACGTCGATTTCGATCGGTAATTAATACGAACACACCAATGTGTATTCTAATCGACTAATTTTAATACTAGAACTATCATTTTAACGTTAAAACGACCAATTCCTAATGTCCTTTTACAATCATTACAAAACTGCAAGACGCTTCTTTAAGAAATGATTAAGTAACTGATTTAGTAATAAACTAAAATATAAACCAATTAAAATCTCAATAAGTCCATGCTTCCAGCTTTTATAAGGAAATTTCAAAAAGAGTTTAAGTGCTCGGTAGTTCTAGCGTTAAATCTCGAATTTCTGAATGAACGAACATCTATTTTTCTATAGACACTAGAATAAACTGTACAATAAATGTTCGTAAACCTATTAAATTACACTCCAGCTGAAAAACTGGAGAGTTTCGAAGATCTTTCCTGAATTATACAAATTCTTCTTTGTCAATGCTGAAATTCGAATATAATATGAATAGTTCCGTTAACGATACTCTACTCGCATGAATAATATTCGATTGAAATTCTTGCGTCACGTAGAACGAACTTGCCGAAGGAAGTAATGGGATATCCTGATTATCCCGTGCCCGACGCGCCCGAAAGTTATTTGACCCGCACGCAAATGCTGAACTTCCTGAACTCTTACTGCGACCACTTCAAGCTCCGGCAGTATATTCGGGTAGGACACATAATCCTTTACCAACGAAACATGTGTCGTCTTTGCTGGACGAGCAGCATGCGGATGCATAAAGAATGATACGATAAATAATCGGAATATTTTAATTTTTAACGCGTTAAGCGCCATGTCAGTCACTAATGACTAACGCTTCTGAATGACTAGAAAAGAATCGTAAGATAACCGATGTGAAATGAAAACGTTTAACAAAACTACCAGACATTAAAATGACCTATGTCTGATTTCTTCCTTTCTCAATTATTAAAAGACAACAGGTGTTTCTATAAGAAATTATTAAAGAAATTGATTTAGCAACACGCAAATTGAATTGTAAATCAAAGTTTCAATAGATGCACTCTTGGAGTTTCTGCAGAGAAATTTCAGAAAATCAATTCAGCTGCTCGGTTTTAGTGTTAATAACTAAGTTGATTACAGTGTAATGCAAACATTGCAGCGCCAAATAATAATCGTTCCTGCTTTTCTTTGCTAGAAAAGAAACTCTACGGGAGAACGCTTAAGACTTTCGTGGCGTTTACCGCGTTAAAGAATAAAATTGACCAATTACCATTTCACTTCAATTGAAAAGTTGTCTCGCACGTATCAGATTCTGCACAACGTCGAGCTGCTGGAGCCGTCGGACGGCGACCGGAAGTGGTCGATCAAGGTGAAGGACCTGCAGAAGAATACTGTGACGAAGGAATCCTTCGATGCTGTTATGGTATGCAACGGTCATTATTTCGAGCCCAGTGTCCCAAAGATAAAAGGCCACGAGACTTTCCAAGGTAGACAGATGCACAGCCACGACTACAGGACTTCCGACATATTCGCCGATAAAGTTGTGCTGGTCATTGGCGCCGGCCCTTCCGGTACGTCGTAGCAAATCGTTTCCAAAGTTCAACAATTCAAGCGATCGACGCGCAATTATTCTAGAACTATGATCAATTTGACCCATTCCTAAATTCTTCCTCAGTTATTAAAAATATAACAGATGCTTCTCTGCGAAATTATTAAAAATTAATTTCTTAATACGCAAATTGAATCGCAAGTCAATCGAAGATCTTGAGATTTCGGTAATTGCGAACGTTTTGTAATGATTTTCTTAATTTTTCCATGCTGTGACGACAGGAATGGACCTGGCTCTGGACATATCGAAAAAAGCGAAGCGAGTGATCCTCAGTCACCATTCGAGGGACCCCATAGGAACCGTATTTCCCGAGAACGTCGTTCAGGTAATGGGAATCGCACGATGTTAGTCTGTACATTTATTAATTCGCAGAACTTATAGAAACCGGACGTGAAAGAGTTGACTGAGAATGGCGCAGTCTTCACGGATGACAGCAGCGAACTGTTGGATGATGTTTTCTATTGTACAGGTAACAATTTGCTGGGATTTGTCGTTGGAATCGACAAGCGGGATAGTGATTATAATTGTTGATCGCAGGGTACAAGTACAGTTTCCCTTTCATGGATGAGAAATGCGGGATACGAGTGGATTCGAACATGGTCACCCCTCTTTGGAAGCACGTTGTGTCCACTGAAAATACGAGTCTCGCTTTAATTGGCCTTCCATACTACGTTTGTGCTTACAGTATGTTCGATCTGCAGGTACGGTTTGAAAGGTAATCGATGTTAACTCATTCGGATGATCGTGTCATGATTCTGTGATCGTAGGTTCGATTCGTACTGAGTTTCTGGAGCGGGAGGAAAGAGTTCCCCCCGAAAGCGGAAATGCTGCGAGAAGAAAGAGAGGAGCTGGAGAGAAAATTGAAGGAGGGTCTCGGGAAGAGACACTTTCACCTTATGGGTCACCAACAGGGTGAATATTACACCGACCTCGCGGACACCGCAGGAATCACGCCCCTGCCACCTGTTATCTCGAAGCTCCACGATGAAAGCAGCACGCGCTTTTTGGACGATCTGCCGCATTACAGAGAAGCCAGATACAAGATCATCGACGATTATAGTTTCATTCGACTTGAGTGAAGAGTGTCTTAACGCATTCAATGCCGCACGATTTTGCCGAGAGAAATGTACAAAATGAAAATAATGTAACATCGACTTGCGTTATTATTATTACAGGTTTATTTTATATTACTTGTAATATAGAAAGTTTTCAAATAATCGTTCAATCGTATGAATTATAGTAATTCGATTTGCTCGAGGTCACCGGTAACTCCCATGGCATCCAACGTGTTAAGAAGTATATCAATTTTGTATGAATTTATTTACGTTTGTAAAATGAGTGAGAAAAATAAACTATAGTATTTTCATTAAAGGGGTTTGAAGACATTTTGGAAAATGCTCCCTAATGAGCCAGGTCAATTTGACTCATTCCTAAATTCTTCCTCAGTTATTAAAAAGATAACAGATGCTTCTCCGCGAAATTATTAAAAATTAATTTCTTAATGCGCAAATTGAATCGCAAGTCAATTGTTATGTCTATAACTGCGTCCTTGGAGTTCCTATATAAAAATTCGAAAATATCGATTTGATCGCTCGGCAATTCTAACGTTAAATGATTCACCCTTTGCACTTAGAAATATTTCGCTGGAAATACTTAACGTTTTCTAACTATACAAAGACGATATCTTTTTAAACGAACTCGAAGAAAAATCACAAGTAAACTGAGAGACAAAGCTTTTTTATCCGAACATTTCATACACCGATGTATTGCAAACAGTTCAATATTAACCCCTTGACCTACAATTACGCGTCAGACTCGTGACGAAAATGTTAAACTGAATTCGAGAAACGTGAGTGTTATTCGTTTCCTTTAAATGTGAATTAAACATTATTTTTCTATTATCAATTGTTAATCTTTGGACTAAAAATAGAAAAAAATGGAACAAACATAAAGTTTATTCTTTTTCTAAGGAACGATTCACGATAAAGCACTTATATCGATGATAGTTAAGAATGAAATCATAGGGCAAGAGGTTAAACATCAAATTTTATAGTTTCACTGCATCGAATGAAGCGGTGACCGAGAGTCGCCTCTCGAGCGCAAAGGGTTAATTTCGAATGAATCGAATACCGCGCCAAGCGCATAGTATACGACTCAGCCGTAGGGCGACGCCCGAGCGTGGACGTTGGTTAAATGCCTCGTACTGCGGTTGAATCCAGTGTCGTGTGTGATGTAGCTGTGTGACGACCGCGAGTACGTTTCACTCCGTAATCATTCCGAAAATGATTAGTATTTCGATGATCCGAAAGTGATTCAGTGTCGAAGTATTTCAGCCCGTTTTCACGGCTGAGCCACGATGATCGAATCAATAGGGAACATTGTCGATCGTGATCACCGTAAGTAGAACTTCTCTGAGAAAAAGAAAAAAAATTGTCCGCGGGATATATGTTTTCCTAGCCCGTACTGTATCATTATTTCCCACTTCGCGATTTTCCATGCCAATCTCAATCTTGTTTTACGAGTGCGAAAGAGAGAGAATTAGGGAGTGAAAGAGACAAGTAGAAAGAAAGAGAGAGAGAGAGAGAGAGAGAGAGAGAGAGAGAGAGAAAGAGAGAGCAAGCTCAAAGTGTGTGAGAGAGAGAAAGAGAGCGAGCGAGAGAGAGATGGAGGAAGAAAGGAAGAAAGAAAGAAAGGAGAGAATAAGGATGAAGAGAGAGATATTCTATGAGTAACGTTTTCTCAGGGTATGCATGCGGAAAAACGTTAGAATCGCGTCTTGGAACGAAAAAACGTTATTTACTGGCCCGGTATAGCCGACGACACGTTACTTTCCTAGATAGAAAGTTGCATTCAATGATGCGCGATATGTGGGCTACGCACAGGCTCTCTCGGGTGAATGCATTCGTAAGAATGCATTCACGTCCGCCGTGTGTCGTGTTCCTCTCCTGCTTTATGTAATTTTACCACGGACACCTGTCCGTCGGCTTCCTCGGAGTGCCGTGCGTATCGGTGTCGATGCGACGATTTGTCAAGGAGCCCAGCGTTGGGTTCACTGTCAACGGTTTTCGCCTTACCCTTATCTGTCAGATGTTTGGACATGCAGATAAAAGTGTTTTCTTCCCTTCGGACCGTGAGACTTACCGATCCGCCCTGGATAACGCGATTACCATGCGCGCGTAACTAATCCTGGAACAACGTGAAAAATGTTTGAAAACGTTGCATAAAGGGTGTCGCAACGGATGAAATATAATCTGTAATCCTGATACGGTGTATCGTTACCGCTAACAGTATTTTGCGCCCGTTACGAGCATTTGTTATTGGATGTTCGTTCAACAAGTGATTTTCCATGCCCGTTTAGTTCTGTCTCCATGTATGTTGTTATTATTTAGTAGGGTATTAAGGTGGAACTCGAGGAATTATAAAATGGCTACAAAAACCGAGGACACAACATCCATTGATAATACCAATGATGGTATATAATTTGTTCTTCTCGATTCTTAATTAACACGATACCTGTTATTTGTTGTTGTAACGCGTATATGATTGTAGGGGAGAGCATGGACAAAGAGGTATTAGCTATCAGTGGAACTGATGAGACTGGTCATCGTATTCCACCTACGTATTTGTATACCACAGGTTCAGAATCAAATACAGGAATATCCAATCAAGAGCAGGGCAACAGAAGTCGCAATCAAGCTACGGAAGACCAGTTAGGACCTCTACCTCCAAACTGGGAGAAGGCTTACACTGATACAGGAGAAGTTTATTTTATAGAGTATGTATATTGATATATAAAACAGACTGAGTCATTTTGTAATTGAAACTGACTACTGTATCAAAGTTCTATTGAATTGTATGTTTCATTACATTCGTATCAATGTATTTATATATGCCACAAGGACAATATTATCACAAATTGATAAATTGGCATTGCAATTTTCACATAATCATCAACCCCAGTAATAGTACAGTTTACTGATGGGTATTGAACACTGATTAGGATAAATAAGATTCATTTTATGATTATGAAATTGTATTGATGTATATTACAGCCATAATACAGGTACTTCACATTGGTTGGACCCACGTTTATCCAAATTTCAAAAGAGATCTCTAGAAGAGTGTTTGGATGATGAGTTACCGTATGGCTGGGAAAAGATAGATGACACACTCTACGGTACATACTTCATCGATCATGTAAATCGTAGAACTCAGTATGAGAATCCAGTATTACAAGCTAAAAGGGCTCAGCAAAGTTTAGGTGAAAGAAAGAGTCCGAATTTTACTAGAAATCCTGATAAATTGAAAGGTCAGAGAATAAGGACAACGCTAATTAAAAGTTCGAGGGGGCTGGGGTTCACCATTGTCGGTGGGGATGATTCGGTAGAAGAGTTTTTACAAATAAAAAGTGTTGTACCAAATGGTCCAGCATGGTTAGATGGCAAATTACAAACTGGTAATTTACGAAACTGTATTGTAAATTGCGTGTAACGATGCCGATGATTCTATAACAGAATAATATCGATTACAGGAGATGTGTTGGTGTATGTGAATGATACATGCGTGTTGGGTTTTACTCATAATGAAATGGTGAATGTTTTTAAATCGATTGGCAGTGGTGAAACTGTTACACTAGAGGTGTGCAGGGGTTACCCATTGCCATTTGATCCGAACGATCCTAACACAGAAGTTGTTACTACTATCGCCGTTAACGCGCCAGGTAAAAATCACATTTTCTATATACTGTTATTGGAAGAATAAATTCTACTTCTTCAGATATTTTAACAGAAGATCCCAGGATGTATATGGACTTGGATCCTACTCTACAAAGTAACGGTCGTTTCAATTTTCTGGATTCCACGTTCTTGCCAGTACACAGTCTTCAGAATGGTGAAAATCTTGCCACTACTTCTGTCAACTCGATGCCGGATCTATGCATCTCGGACAAGATCAACACCATTAAACGACCCAGTAGTACGGATATCCTCCTGTCGGAGAGTAGCGACATCAACGACTGCAAGGATTCACCGGTGTCTTCCAAGTCTGAATTTCTTAGCATCGCGATTGTGAAAGGAACCATGGGGTTTGGATTCACAATAGCGGATTCCGCTCACGGTCAGAAAGTGAAAAAGATTTTAGACCGTCAACGTTGTAAGAATTTAATGGAGGGCGACATTTTAGTCAACATAAACGACGTTAACGTGAGAAACATGTGTCACTCCGAGGTGGTGCAAGTTCTGAAGGACTGTCCTCGCAACGAAGAAGCGTTGATACACGTGCAGAGAACGACGTCGAAGTCGAACGAAAAGAAGGAGAAGAACTCGCAGGACTTTTTTCGAAGTAAAACACCAACCGCTGATATCTACAGCACTCAAACGAAAACAGTTGTACCGAGTCGACCGAAAACACCGCTAATAGACACTAGAAATCGTCCGAAATCACCTCCGAATGCAATTAGACCGAATTGGAACGAGCAAGGCGAGAATGAATTAAATCCATTAGATAATCGATACAAGTACTCCGAATACACTCATGGCATGTATTACACCGATCCGTACAAGGCAAACATTACAAACTTATCAGATAATTTCGCTACAATGACCAATCTGGATGATGATTCTGTACGAAACACCGCGAAGAGAGATTGGGTTACAAATGATAAATTGAACATAAACAATGACGTGTATTCGATCGATATACCTCATCACGATAATATGTTAAAACAAAACGGATGTTTGCATTCGGATTACTACAAGGAGTTGTACACGTCGCAGTCTCATTCACAATACAGCGAACAAGATTACAACGTGTATTCGATTGGTCAAGAGCAGAATGTCGATACTGGCGAGATATGGGACAAACGTAAAGAAACTACGAGTTTTGAACATGAACAACCACATTCCAGTTCTATACCACGGTAAATGTCACGCGAATGAAATTTCAATCGTGTGAAACTGATTTCTATGCTTTATTCGATTAAGAGGTCGCCAATTCAATTTTAGATATCCTCAGTATACCAACGAACTAGTGTGTCCCAGTGTGCCTGATATAGAATGGATAGAAACATTGGTTACATTAGTGAGACAAGACACAGGATTTGGTTTTAGAATAGTGGGTGGCACAGAGGAAGGATCTCAAGTGAGTTCATAAATTGCTAAGTGAACAGTGGATCAGAAAAGTATTCGCACGTGCGGAATCTTTCTGATAACCTTTGTTTAGTTATCACGAAAACACCCGGTTGTGCGGATGCTTTTTTGATCCGCTGTGTCTGTACGAAAGAAATTGAAGATACTGATGATCTAATCGTTAGCAGGTCTCAGTTGGACATATCGTACCTGGCGGTGCAGCTGATTTGGACAACAGACTAAACACAGGTGATCTGATTATGTCCGTTGACGGTGAAAGTGTTCTGAATTCGTCGCATCATCATGTTGTACAGTTAATGATCGCTGCAGCTCAGAATCGCAGAGTTACTTTAGGAATACGTCGTAGAATTAACACGCAAGAACATCTTCCAGAAAATCTCCAGACTTCGTACAGTAGACAAATGAATCATCAGTATCCTTACGATGTGACGGTCACCAGAATGGAGAACGAAGGGTTCGGCTTTGTAATCATTTCTTCTGTTAATAAAGCTGGCTCGACTATTGGTAGGATAATTGAAGGTTCACCTGCGGAAAGATGCGGGCGACTGAACGTGGGAGACCATATTCTTGCCGTTAATCATGTAGATATCACGAACGTCTGTCACAAAGATATCGTGAATTTAATTAAAGATTCCGGGTACTCGGTTACCTTAACGATTGGTTACCCTCTCGACGACTGTTGCAGTAACACGTCTCTGTCTCAGAAGGTATTGCTTTGTAAATTTTGAAATAGCTTCGATTCAATATATATATATATAACGTTCACGAGTAAAACTAAAAATATACATGTGACATAAAATGACCGCAGGATGAACCAACGTGTGACGGAGATGGAGGTCAATACCATGCGGTTGAATTAACGCGAGGAACTCGAGGATTTGGTTTTAGTATTCGCGGAGGACGTGAATTTCAAAATATGCCTTTGTTTGTATTACAAATTGCAGAGAATGGTCCTGCATCTATTGATAATCGACTGAGAGTAAGAGAAATATCAATTTGAAGGGTCCAAGTAAAAAAAAATAAGAAAAAAAAAGAAATACCTATTTTTATAGACATATTGTATTTTGTTAATTAATTCTAGGTCGGCGATCAGATAATCGAGATAAATGGAATTAATACTAAAAATATGACTCACACGGAGGCAATCGAAATTATACGAAACGGTGGACCATCCGTTCGACTTTTGGTTCGACGCGGTTGTCAGATGCCCTCAGTGGTAGGTGCTCCTCCACACCTCTACGATATGAATATATGAAATTAACAATTTTTTTTAGTAACACCGCCATTAATCCTTGCAAGTGACGATACTAATGCTAATGTTGCCTCCGTATAACTTTTACCCTGATAATTTTACACTCGAAGCTTCTGATTTTAACAATTAGGTACCCGCGTAGCACGAAATGAAAACAATTTTAAAGACAATACCAGAGAAAGGAAAGAATGATTTGCAAGAGGTTGTTTTATTGCAGCGAGAGTTAGATTAATACTGTTACGCAGTACTAAGAGAATCAGTACAGAAGTGTCTGGTGCAAAAAGGGAAACAATGTGTTATATTGTATAATATTTTATGGAGTTGGTTATACATATATGTAGGTATGTAGTAAGATTAAATACTTTCTTTTTTTTCTTTATACACGACACATGGGAATCAAGTGTTATAATAAGTATTCACATGTCGTTCAGCTTTTTAATATTTGATACATATTATTATTTACATGAGCTTCGAATTCTATGTATTACAGTCTAGTAATATACCGAGGACATGGTTGTTGATTCTCAATGAAACCATTATCGAATAGTATTAATATTAATTTATAGCAAGAGATCTTTTACGAACTTTCAGTTGAAGGAAGGGATGCGTGAATATCATTTTCCTTGCAGCTGCGAATGTGACTCGTAAAACAAAAAACAAAACCCAATTTATAGGGACGATACTTGCTCATTCTAACCAAGATTGGACTGGTGCTAACTCTGTATTTAAACGAATCTAATTACCGAGAGGAAGAGAATATTAATTCATCCTAACACGTGTGATAGCTTGAGAGTATTGTGCCTTGCGCGTGTTCCAATATATGAATAACAAAAATTACTAAGTAAACGCTTGAGCTTTTGAAGCGATTGTAAAACGTTTATTGAATTTATATTCGTTGTAGAGTAATCTCACAATCGACCAAATAAGTATTCGACCGATTGATGAGGGCACCCCGCGCAGGCATTTATTGAAATTACACGAGATGGGTGTGCACCCCAAAAAACGTCAGAAAGCACGGTTTTTCATTTTCTTAAACTGCTGTTCATCCAAAAATCGATATTTATGATAAGCGTGTTTAATATGTAAAAGTGAAACAAAATTTCGGTCTCGGTTATAACATTAGTAATTTTATAAGACGATATCTTGTAAGTTTAAATCTCACTGAGAACAGAATCTCAAGAACTTTTTACTACGTATCTCGGGTGACTCTTGCATTTTTAAACTACGACTTTTATTAGAATTGATTGTACAAGACTATATATACGATTGTAAAGACATGTGAAATGTGAATCTTGGAGGAGTATAATCTATTTGCTATGACAAATAGCATTAATACTTCCATAGAGAGGATGAAAAGCTATTTTAGTATTTATATAGAAAGATAATTGTGCACTGATAACTTCTTAACCCCTTAACCGCGGCATTTTTTCATTCAAGTTAACACTGCGACACAGAGTTTTTCTCTGAGATTTTTTTGCAATTTAACCCTTTTTTCCCCTCGAGTTTGTTTTTTTATAAAATAATTAGTTTTCTAAAAAAGGATGTTTATATTCAATAAATATAATGAAAAAGGAAATAGTAAATAAATGCTTGCATAGAAATTTTTGCGAACACACCGTATGGCGACTATCGCTGTTAAGGGGTTAATTAAGAGAAATTGTAGACTGGAAAAATGTTAACTACATTTCACGTTCTCAGAATCTCTGTTCGGTTAATCGTATACGTTAAAAATATTCATCCTGCAACATTATTGTGGCCTTGATCATAAATTCATACATTTTCTCATTACGAACATGCGACTTTCGTAGGGTTTAATTAACGGATCACTTACTGTTATTCCGTCATACAGTTTGTGCAGCATTCGGAAAGAAAAGGAAAAGTAATGTCGATATTGTTTTCGTTCTTAAGTATTTATTATAACTGTACGAAGTAAGTACGTCTAGCAATAATTAAGTTAAGTGCTGATATAACCAAAGAAGCAGATGATCGGACGCAGAGGATCAATACGAATGCGAACACGCATGAAACATTTAAACGAAAATTTCATTTAAAAGAAGTTCTCTCTCTTTTTTTTTACTGGTCTTACTGTACTGCGATGCTTTATGCGAACTTACGTTCTTACAGGTGAATTCAAAGAGACTGAAATTACAGAAAGTTGTATCGTCTTCATAAATTATTACAGTAAGCTTGACAAATGAAATGAAATTGTATCGAATTCTATAAAAAAATTTCATTTGAATCGATCTAGTTTTTAATTTGTACCGTATACAAAATTCTGTAAGTTTTTATATGTAATGGACGCATAAAGTTCCGAAGTCTACCAAGTAACGTTTGTAATAAACCGACGACGATCGATTAGAAAGATCACGGTCGATTACCGAAGAAGATCTGGCAAAAAGTTTTCTCGTCGAAACAACCTCTTCCTGTCTTTTTGCGACACTTACGAGTAGACGCGTTGACTGTGTAAAAAAGAAAAACAAAAAACAAAGCAAAACTAATAAATCTATTTTTTTACTAGTAAGTTCGTAACGACTAGGTCAAGGATGTTTGGTAAACGAATCAAGTAGGAACGAATTAAGCTATATTTTTAAAAGT